GAGCGCGCTCTGTGCGGAGCGCTGGGTAGGGCCGGCCGCCGCCACCCCGGCTGCTGGCTTCGCCAGGTGGAGTTTCTGCCTGGCGTACTGCGTCTCCTCTTCACTTGGGAATTTCCCCGTTTTGTGAGCAACAAAGATCAGTCTGGAAATACAGCTCAGACTCACCTCTCCGCGGACACAGCGAGAGCTCCAATCCTGGCTTGTTCTCACAGCGCCATCTTGAGTCCTCCTCCCTACTGAATGTTTTAAATGAGTGTACATGTTGTTCTGCAACCTGCTTTACCCACTTAATATCTTGCTAATCTCTTTATAAAGATATTTATTGAGTGCTTATTATGTACCACTCTTCTAAGCACCTTTATATCTATTGATGCATATAATCTTCATGGCAATATAGTCATTATGTTTTGTTATTATGACTGTTGTGCCATTGATGATCCTGAGGGACAGAGGTTAGATAAATTGCCCAATTTAATGGGAAAGCCGCTTGTTCTGAATTCTATTCAAGGAACAACTCCAGGTCTACTCTCATGGTAACTGTTTTACACTGCCTCTCTGAGATATATAAGCCTACCTCCTGAAGGCAAAAGCTATTAACCCCGACCCCAGCGGGCCCCCTTTTTATGAACTTGCAGTGACTGCAAATGATAGGCAGATACTGTTCAAATTTTAAAATGCCACCAAGTGCCTCATGATGCTCTGCACCTCTGTTGGTAATAGCACAGGCGAGGCACTGTGATGGCATGAGGTATGGCTGTTTCTGAGCGGGTTAGTGCACGTAACCGTACGGAACAAACCCCATTGTTATGCTGCTCCATTCCCCTAGTTCCCTCGCCACCTATATCTGATCCATGGGCAGCATTCCATTTATGTCAAAAATAATGTCAATCTAGTGAAAAAACTGCATGACTCACACCATTACTGTAGGGAACTGGTCTCTGTGTAATATGATATATAACATCCTAATTTCATAGAGCATTTTTCATAACAGCTGCTAAAATCATCAAATCCATTAAATCTTTTAAAGGATCCAATTTGAAGCAGTATTGAAAATAGTCTTAAAATGCAGGTATAGAGTGGAGTCTCACTCACTCAAAACTCCACTATCATTAGCTACTTCATATCTTCTGTGTATTTATCTGTCTGTATTTACTGATTCACCTGAGTCTTCTCCTGTTCTATATTTCTAGCTGCATTAAGTCAGAGGTAGGCTATTTCAGAGACTGGAGGATCTGAAAAAAATAGATAAGAAAGCAGAAGAGGAAAAGGAAGTTTTCCACTGACCCTTATGGACAAAAAAATGAGGCACACTAGAGAAAAAAGAGAAAGAAAGAACTGAGGTCTTGGGCTGATGAAAACAGTATATTATTGACTAAAATATCTGTAGAGAATGAATGACAATGAGAGAGCATGGCCACCTAAGCCTTTATATCTGGCAGCATATAACTTAGAAACACTGAGCCAGTTGATTTCCCCTGCCACACTGCCATCCATAAAACTAACAGCTATTTCTGTTTGTAAGAATTTTATTTCTTGGATATACTTAAAGCCAAAAAAAAAAAAAAATCCCTCAGTATTGAGGGTTTTTGTTTCTTCTGATGCTATAGACTTTGTTTGGGAACATAAAGGAAGACCAAGAAGAGGATCCAAAGAAGGCATAAATATGTGGAATTTACTTCCAAACTCGAGAGTGACCTTCCAGAAGGAGCATAGGCTTCTGAAGCCTATGCTCTATTCAGTTTCTGCCACAGATTAACTGTGTGATACAAGTTAGTACACAAATTGATCTTCTTTGAGCCTCAGTTTTCTTATATAAAAAATAAGCTTAGACCAGAATTCTAATATTCTTTTGAGTTGTAATATTATGATTTTTGTATTACATGATGTAAAAAGATAGTATGCGATGCTCAGTCACCCTTCTGGTTACTTCTAGCAGCACAAATCTTATATATTTTCCTTCCTTGTGTACACACATGTCCTCTAATATTATTAAGGGGGGATGTATTACATGCAGTGTCTTTGGTAGGTGCTTCTTGTGGACAGCGTTCCTTACAGCTTCCTTCTTATGTAAGTGCTATTAAGGCAAAAGTTTTCGACTCCATCCCATTTTTCTGATTCTGTTAAAAAAAATTTTTAGGATGGAATGTAAATTACTGATTCATAATCCATGAATCACTGCAATAAAGTAGCTCTGTGATATTTGCTTTCAGACCTTCAAAAATTGTTAATTGCATACAATGTGTTGTTGGCCACTTGGGTAATGGATTTAAGGCACAGCTTTTTAGATTCCAGCTAACAGCATCTTTAATCGATATAATTTCATGTGTGTGCTCAAGCAGTTTGTACCTAGTCAGCTAATATTAAGGCGGATACACCAGATTGCCATTTTGGGGTTGTCCGACACAAGCACCAGGCAGATTACTGAATAGTAATAGAGCCAGGAGTTCCAGAGTAAGTTTTCTGCACTATTAAACCCTGATAATGAGTTGTTCATATTTTCTCTCACTTTATTCGTTCAACCACCAATAATGGAGTACCTATTGCAGTCCTGGATACTGGGTGCCATGCCAGGTCCTCAAGGCCAGCATTCTATTGCAAAAAACCATGTTTACAAAAGTGGAGTGAGATTCTTCCTTGGGTCTTTTTGTCACTGAGTAGCTAAAGCTGTTATTAAACTAACCAGACCAAAAAAATTTCATCCAGGAAGTAATTTACACTATAGTTTTCAACGTGTCATCCTTTTTATTTTTCATGTTCTCTAACATATACAGAAGATTAATGATAATATTTCACATGTAGCCTATTGGAGAAATGAGTTTCCTGGACTAGTCACATCATATATGATTGATATATGATATAACCAATCATATAACCCAAAAACACCAAAGTCCAATAGCATTAAAATCTTACAATGGGAGCTTTATCAATACTAGCTAAATCATAGTGGATAGCCTAGTCACCTGGAAATCAAAACACTAGAATAATCATGGTAGCTCATTAATTAGTTATGTAAATGAAGGCATGCTACTCAAGTTCTCTGAGCTTCAGAAGAGAAAAAAAATGATTCGTATCTCATGGGGCTGTTGTAAGGAACAAATGAGATAGAGTATGTGGTATGCTTTGTATTATAGAGCATACAATCCAAATATGAACTAGATAAGGCATCAAACGTGCTTGTACTACATACAGTGTTTCTAATTATATTATAGGTTTTATCTATGTGGTGTTCCACATTTTATATGTAAACAAGAGCTTACAAGGTTGACTTTCTTCCAGTTATCACAACTAATGAACTCTTAATGGGCAGCTACAAATATAGATTTTATCAGAAGGAGGAAATTAAAGCGATCAAGGAATTATTATTTTTTCTCCCCGACACGTAAAAAGTAAAGAGACTACTAATTAGAAAATATTTAGCTTTTCTTTTTAAGTACTTGAATGATCTGAATTTTCTGAGTATTCATTCTTCGTTCAGGTATAGGAAATGAAAAGTCAAACGTTCTCTAAATATTATCATTCAATGGCTGTATTTCCTGGGCAAAATGTAGTTAATTTTATTTGTTAGAGCCATATACTAAGTGCTAGATTTCATAGATAACAGAGGCACAAACTGAGGTACTTCCGTCCTTTGGTTTTGTAATATAGCATATTTAGAGAACATCTAGAATAATGCTGTAAAAAGGAATTGCCTGGGCTAATAATCGTATCAGAAATTGTTTTATTCTGTTAATACAAGTACATAATAATTTTCTGCAACTCAGTTATTTGCCCTCAGTTATTAATTCCTTGAACATGACTTCAGCTAATAACTGCCACTCTAAAAGCGTAAAATAGGATTAATGACCAAACTCCTTTATTTCTAAGGAGTGATTACATATGCAAATGAAAGGAGTAGTAGCATTTCAAATAAATTCCACCAGAGAGTACGTTTCCTTAACCAATATCTAGGTATATTCATGGGTACCTCTTCTTTAAAATGTTAACTTTTGGGTTCTACTTAAAATCTGGGTAGCAAAATTAAAGGTAGTAAGAGCCAGGCTAAAGAGGACTACATCGGATTCTCTCTGTGGCCTTTATTGTAAATAGTTCATTTTCTTTATGTCTCACTTCACTCTTTTTTTTTCCTCTTTTTCTTTTAGTCTTATTATTTAAAGACTTAAACATTTACCCTTCGAAAATCAGTGTCGTTTCTGGTGGGGAGAGAAGATATTCAGAGAGTTGAGTCAGAGGCACATACAAATAACTTACATGAAGTTAGAAGTTAATGAAAGAAAAGGAAATGTTTATCCTACTCCAACCACAATACTAGTAAATTAAGTACTTATGATTTTTTAACTGTTTGTTTCCTCATTTGTTACCCAGACCTTGTTTTATTTCCCCAGCTACCATAAATTTACCGACAAGGTAAATTCCTACAGGGTTCAAAAAGGGACAGGTAGATTTTCAGAAACTGTTTGGGGTTGGAAATACATATATAAAAATGAAAATGGTCTAGTACCTGAAGACTACTAGTAAATTTTGCTACAGTAAATTTATGATATTTAACTTCTTTTTCCTGTAGTTGAACTGGAAACCTGACTTTTGTAGGTTTTTTGGTCCTTGGTTTCTCTCCTTGGTTTCGAAGGTGTATTATAAGTTGAGATTGCTCAACTTATGATACACCTTCCTCTTGTCTCTTTGGTCATCTGACTCCCCAGCATGCATACACATAAATAATCAATACAAATTAGCACTCTTTGTTGCAGGAAGAGTGTATACTTTTTGGATGTTAGATTTTTTAGTGCCTTCATCATCTTTAGTGTTGGTTTCTTCCTTTGACTTTGTATATTCCTCCTAAGTCCCAGTGATTTCTTGGTTATTTCTTGGTTACAGGCTGTCATGGTGATCGCCTGTTTCTTACCTAATGTGACTGGTTACCTTGAGATTTTATCAGTGTCTGTGGTCTCTTCATCAGTTCTCTCCAAAGGTTTCTCTCACTGATTATCTTACAATATTCTTAGACTTGAATGAAGCAGTCCCAGAGACAGAGCGCCTGGATTCAAAAGCACTTAAAACTCGAGCCCAGCTCTCCGTGAAGAACAGACGCCAGAGGCCTTCTAGGACAAGACTGTATGACAGTGTTAGTTCCACAGATGGGGAGGACAGTCTAGAGAGAAAGGTGAGCACCCCTGACTGTTTTCTGATTCGTAGTGTTGGAGTGTATCATTGTTCCTTCAGCTTATTAAGGAGGATGATTTTTCTGCAGTCAGAGTCTGTGTCCTAGTTCGAAGCAGCTAGAATAGTTCACATCTTTGTCTACTGAATTCTTTATATTGTTGTAATTCAAGATACTTTCTCTATTCATTCAATGAACTAACCCAGGGCATTATCCATATTGTCATATTTCATGATGGTGCTTTTGATATTCAATTGTTGGTTTTACTTAGTGGGAAATAATGAATGTACAAGTAATTGTTTCTTTAGGTCTTGGGTATACGTATTAGTGATGATGTTAATATGGTGAATTGTTATGAACTATGCATTCTCATCTTTAAATCAACAAAAACAAAAACTGGTTTACGTGGGAATTCACTAATAAGAGATTGGTCTTATTTCAAAGTAAGTATTGCATAGAACTGATACTCAGTGGCATAACCTTCCTTATAATCTCTTATACCAACAGCCTTCAAACAGTTTCTATAACCACATGCATATTACCAAATTACTTCCACCTAAGGGTTTGAGAACTTCTTCTCCAGAATCAGATTCTGGTGTTCCACCCCTCACCCCAGTGGCTAGCAATGTGCCCTTCTCGTCTGACCACATAGCTGAATTTCAGGAAGAACCACTGGACCCAGAAATGGGGCCTCTCTCCTCTATGTGGGGAGACACTTCACTCTTTTCTACTTCAAAGTCTGATCATGATATAGAAGAATCTCCTTGCTACCACCAAGCCACCAACAAGAAAATATTACAAGAAAAAGGTATTGTTAATTTTTTTTGTCTGACTTCTTAACACTTCAGCTTGTGCAGTATAAAAATGACTTTTTCTCATAATCATAAGTCATTTGTCATCTCATAGCTAATAATTCATATTACTTTCTTTTTATGTTATAGGATAAGAGAAACAACCCCTTCATGTATTTTAGTTTAGTTTTTTTCTTTTCCTACCTGGTTCAGTATATTTATCTCTTCAACTCTCTACAAGTTCACTACTAAAGGGAGTTCTTCAGGGGAGTGGAGCAGCCCAGAGTTTCAACAAATACTAACATAGTCATATAAAAAATATAGAGAGCAATTTTGTAGAATAGCAGCCCAGAGTTTCAGTAAACACTAACTAGTCATATAGTAAAAAAATATGAAGATCAAAGTAACACAGGCAAATAATTGATGCTTAGTAATGTTCTTGGATGAATTGCTAATATATTTCTCCATGTAACTAGTGCAGATCTTCTAGAAGAGGGTTAATCAACTAAATGCTGTCTCCACGTGCTTTAGTAAATGAAGTTTCATGGGAGTACAGTCACTCTTTTTTACTTACATACTGTCTATTTTCTTGCTAGAGTAGCAGAGTTGAGTCATTGTGACAGAGACTGTATATCTTACAAACCTAAAATGTTTACTCTGGTCTCTGACAGATAAAGAAAGCTTCCTCATGACTGGTCTAGAAGTATATTTTCTTACTCTCAACATTGCTGGATAAACTCTGAAAAGGGCTTAATCATTGGTTGCCGTTTATCTAGAATTTTTTAAAAGTATTATAGTATACCATTACTTTTGGTCTATCAAGTTACCACAAAGATGATTACATTATAGCCATATTTGGTTGCAGGCTTGAGGATAAGGCTCTGGTTACCCTAATAGGAGTTGGCTGTTTTCTGAATTGTGTCAATACCACATTTACAAGTCATCATTTTTTTTTCATATCTGAGGAACATCACTGGAAATTGGGATGGAAAACTCCCATTATAACTGGCTAAATGAGAATCATCTAACTGAGTGTCAAATTAGAGGAAGTAAAAGATTTTTTTTTCTTGAGATTCATAAAACAGGTTATATGGAAGTAGAAGGCATGAAAATATTTTCCTCATGTCTATTCTGTAAGCAACCCAGTACTAAAATTTTGGTCTTGAGGCTTACATAGCACTGGGCCTTTGTTCAGTCAAGTTTAAGTAGAGTAAATTGAGCACTATCCATTTTCTACTCCCAGTTACTAGAGATTATTATTCTAATTTAATTATTCTAATTTTTTGTGTGGTTAATAACATTATTTTACCCAGAAAATGTCTTCAAAAATATGTACTGATTCAATGTCTTAGTAAATAGAACCTGGCTTTTTAAAAGCTTTACAGGACTGATTTCATATTAAAGGCATTGGGCCTCTGCATGTATAGATAGAGTACAATTATATCAATGCTCAGAAGAGAGAGAGGTTATATCCAGCTGGGGTTGGTAAAAAAAAAATGTGTCCAATGAAGGAAAAAGTATGGAAGGTAAAATGATGTCATTAACAGAGATAGGCACACATAATATGAGTTAAAGGAACAAGGCTATTGCAGCCTGGCTGAAGCAGTTTGCTTATGCAGGGTAGAGTGGTTACACACAAAAGTGAGCAGGTAGGTTAGGTATATAGTTTTAGAATTTAAACATCTTAGATAACTTACCATATTACTAAGGAAACCACAAAAAGTTTAAGCAGAAGAATAAAAAGAAAAAGACACCAGGTATGGAGAAGCTGAGTTAGGAGACCCTGTGAGGTATGCCTTCTAAAGAGGACCAGCAGACAATGACAGGAAAGAATGATACAAGGGATACAAGGACCGTTGAGACGTACTAGGTCACAGGGAAGAAAGTGAGGCAAAACTATCATAGGCTTCATGCCTCAGAACATATGGTCTTGTCATTAACAGAAAATAGGAAATTAGGAACATGATGGAGGAAATAGGATTAACTCATTTTTTTTTAACAAAGGAGGTCATGAGCTCAAGAGAGAGGTCAGGGCTTCGAGGTAGATTTGGGAGTCCCCATTATAAAGGTAGAGATAGTCAAGTATCTTATTACAGAGAGATTAAGGAGATGCAGTCCAGTAAAAGACCTTAGGATTTGGCAATCAGGAAATCATTTACTACCTTTGAAAAGGAGAACCAGGTTGCCACAGCTTAAAGTTGAGGCACCCAATCTTGGGGCTCAGATGTACAATTGGTCACAAAGGTAGTATTGGAGAGATTTCAAAAAGCCTAACAGAAGTCTTGCATAGAGCTAAATAAAAAAAAATGTGTGTTTCTTTTATCCTCAAATCATACCACTCCATTGTTGGTTTTTATGCAGACTAGAAGTTCTGGTGTGCATTAAAGATGGATTTGATTAATTTAAAATGGGAAATTACATTATTCCTTATTCTTAACCCCTTCAACCTTATGGAAGCATTCATTTTAGTGTTCCTGGGAATACACTTTGACAAATGTGTGAGATAATGTTGTGAGGTTGCCTAGTAGCAGACTCTGTGATGGGCAAAATCAGGCTTTTAGTTGCGAGATGTCCAAATAAGTGGAACACTAATAGGTTACAGAGTGTTTCCATGTACATTGCCTTAGCTGGTCTTCTCGCCACTCATTATAACATCTCCCAACTACGTCTAGTTCAGAAAATAATTAGGCAGTCCCCTTTTAAATATGCACAGTACTAGCCATTAAGAGTTACTTTAGGATTGATCTGGAAGAATTTGGCACTTTCTTTTCTTCAGCTTCTATTAAGAAAATTTAAATCTTGCTTTAAAAAAAAAATCCATTAGTAAAATCACCTTAGAAAGTGTTTGTGCCATGTCTATGGTTTTTTTTTATGTGATTGTGTCACATCTGTGACAGTTTAATTCAGTTACCCAAAGAGTAATGATGCAAATATGCATAATAAATATTTGAGGCTTGAAGTGGATTTTGACACAGAATATTTCTGACTTTTATATTTCATTATGTACATTTCAATGAATTGATTATTGTAATCTGAGTATCATTAACTAAAATATGAAAAGTTCATTGCTAAAAACACTTGGAGTATTTGTCAGTGTGTCAGTGTCCTGTGCTGCTTGAGAGCTTAGAACCTAGACTCCTATCTGTGAATTGTGTATGTAGTTCATGTTTTTTAGGGGTATTAATGTGTGTTTAGAAAATTCTCTTGAAGTAAACAAAAATCATCAGCAACATTAACCTGCAAGGTTAATTGAACACTTATTTAACGGGGCCATTCTCTTTTCACTCTGTACTAGAAAGTACCTAGAAATTTAAAAAACATTTTAAAAGATAAGAGACAAAAACAGACACCAACAGAGAAGTAGGGAGGAAGAGTTTCACACACACACACAAAAAAAAACATCAAATTTTAAACAGCATTTGTTAATCATTTGAGCTAATTGGATATTCTAAAACATGACACTGATCAGTATCCTCTGCTGAGTAGTTTGGGTGGAGCCATAAGAGTTGTCTACCCTGTCTGAGATGGAACAAGTGCCACCAGTGGAATTGTTTACCATGTTGACATTGAACTCCATTTGCCAAACCTGTTTTCCTATTGGTTTTTGGCATGATTTCAAGGGTCCCCATTCCCCAGCAGCTGCCACCTTTGAGAGTCCTAGCAAAACTCAAAGAGGCACAGATCAGTCCACTCTGAACACTGAGGAGATTTTGGCATCTTCCACATTAAGAGGAACCAGCCAAATTGTGCTCTAACCTAACTATTAAGAAAGTCCCTTCAAAGATATAAATGTTTCGTAGCTGAGCTCCTGCTTAAGACGTCTCCCCCATGTCCTCCCCTCCTCTGTCCCGGGACTGGTCACAGGACATTAGCAAAGGAGAGCCCACAGAAGAAAACTTTGACTCTGACTTTCCCCCTAAATCTCCCAGACTCTCAGAGGTGATGTTTTGCACTGGGCTTTGGAGATATGGGAAAAGTGGGCTGGGTTCCTGTTAGAAGGCACTGCAACCCCAAGGCAAGAAAGGAATGGAGGACAGAGCCTAGGCACTTGAAGCCAAGAATTTGGAGCCAGAGAAGGAACAAAAGAAAAGTTGCAGAGGATGTTCTGATAGTGTTTATTCTCTCTTGTTCATTCCCATGCATTTGAAACTAAAACTGTGATGAATGTTGAGCCTCTGCTCTGCATAGGACCTCCTCTGCTTAACTGAGAGTTCCTCAGTGTAGTTATGTCTCCTGTGTCGTATAAGAAGGCATCCATTATTTCTTTTACAATTAGGGATTTAGGCAAAGCTCTTAGATTCAGAGATGCATTGACTTTTGAATTGTGACTTTAAAAATAATAATAATTGATCTTTTTCATAAATGTGTGTATCCCAGATGATGCCAAAGATCCCAAATCACTAAGGGCATCCAGTTCGTTGGCGGTACAGGGAGGAAAAATTAAGCGGAAGTTTGTGGATCTGGGGTAAGCACTTCATGATGCAGAAAGAAAGCCATCTGTAAAAGGAAGATTAAAAGAGAAAATTTCAGGTTCCCCTTTCTGACTGTGTACTGTCATTATAGGGCGCCTTTGCGAAGGAATTCAAACAAGGGAAAGAAATGGAAAGAAAAAGAAAAAGAAGCCAGTAGGTTTTCTGCAGGTAACAGGTATGGGTGTGTGATTAATAACACATTTATTTCTATATCTAAACTTTCTGGCCCCTTTAACATTGTTAACCAAAATCAGTGGTCAGTATCTTTGAGCTGAAGTGATAAGCTGAGAATTGAGATGAAAGAAAAATTGCACCATCAGTTTATATAGGTCTTACTCCAATTATAGCTCCATCTAACCTTGGGCAAATCCACTGGTTCTTAATTGAAGAATTATGGCCACATGTACTGTTTCTATAAGTGTTTATCTAAATGTAACATAAATATATCTATATGATACTTCAGACATAAAAAATGTATTTATGTGATACTTTAGATTTTTTGCCTGGCTACCCGCAATGCTAGTGCATTGTGTTAAGTCTAAAAGAATAATCATTTTGCAATTTAGTACATTTTTGACATTCAAGATTTTCTTGTCCACATGTAAGAGTGACCACCATCTTTTGCTGGACTTGGCTATTTAATTGATTTTGTGGGCACTAGCAACTATACTTACTCTTCAATAAAGATTTTCCCATAGAGAGTGAGCTTTGAATAGCATGCTGTCAAATTTTTCCAGTTTTTTTCTGAGATGATCTAATTTTAAGCTGAGGTTTGCATAGGTAGTCAGTAAAGCATCAAGCTCTGCAGCCCAACTGCCTGGGTTTGAATCATGGCTTTCCCACTTAGAACTTTTAAATCTTGGACAAATGAATTACTCTCTGTGCCTTCATTTCCTATGTAAAATGAGGGTAATAATAGTACCTTTCACATAAGGTCAGTGTAAGGAGTCAGTGAGCTTTCATGTAAAACATTTAAAATGATAACTCAGCATGTAGGAGGTATTTAAGAATAATAAAGATAATAATTTGCTGCTATTATTATTGCCTTACTATTTTTTGTGAGTTACAAAGTAGTTTTACATTTATCACTTCATTTGATCCTTATAAGATTGGGAGGGTAGATAATAATACTGTACTTTATTGATGAAGAATTTCACCTTCATAGAATTTAATTGATTTGCCCAGGGTTATTCAGCAGGCAGTTGGTGTCAATCTGGGGCTTGTGCCTTCTGTTTAGATGTCTTTCCAACATACTATGCCACCTTCAGTTACTTATGCATCTAATGAGGCTTAAATTTCTTTGTGAAATTTGGAAATAATCTCAATATCATAGACTAAGGAAGAAACAGACAAAATGCTAAAAATAAAAGACTATAAAATCATGTGGGGACCACTCTTCCACTTCATAGGTTGTCCACTGCTGTTTACTTTTCTTTCTTCTCTTTTCTGCTATATACCTTGGTGATAAATTTTACCTTCTTCTTGACATTTAAGGAATATTGGGTGGGAGATGAGGAGAGATAATTCCCAAATTACTTATTTTTGTTAGTCTGGCTTTCCTTTATGCTGTACCTTGGAAAAGAGTAGAATGCTGTCATATTGAAGACAACTGTCTCAGGAAAATAAAGGTAAACCTGAGACTATATGCAACTCAAAAGCAGTTTAACTTTGTGTGGTTTGGAAGTGAGAATGGTCCACTTCGTGTGTTAAATTTAAGACTAGAAAAAAGAAATAAGCATACTCAGGGAAAAAAACACAAGTAATGAAACCATATAAGAGAAAGAGAGATGGATAAGTACACAATGGGAGAGAAATTCAACTGTGTCAGAAATGACACTGTCCTTTCTTTGGTCTCTGGGCTTTGAAGACAGTCACTCCCTCTCACCTTTGAGGCACTACCTGAGAGGGATGTTAAGTACCTGCAGCCAGAAAGGGGGAGAGTGTTTGATGGAATTTTGCCATGGTAGCCAGAGATGATCACCTCCTTGTATAAATTGCAGATGAAAGTCAAGCCAATGTTGATTGTGTTGGTGAGTGCTCACCTACCTCACTATAGGCAAAACCACAGCTTGTCAAGGGCAGGTGGCCATCAGCACACTGCTACACCACAGCTGATGCCCACTTAGACCCCCCCCCATAGACTTCAAGATTGGCTGCCTAGCCACTGTTGTATTTTGAAAACTCTGGAGTCCCCCTGCTTCAGCAGTTACAAATTATTGCACACATACCAACACTACAAACTAGTTTCTAATTAGAATCATGATTTTGATCTTTCGTAGTTCATAAGCCTAATGATTGTGTGTTCACAGGCATGTGTGAGATATGCCTCCCTCAAACCTTGTTATGACATTGGCACAGCCAAAAAAAAATAAAATCATAGTTTTATAATTATTTGTAATTATAGTAGAATTTTGGCAGGATGGAAAGGAATTCATATAATTAAAATAGAAGAACAAGGGAAGAAGAGGGACATTTTTCTCTAGCAAAAAAAAAAAAAATTTCTAGCTGTCATAGTAATTGGTTAACACTAATGCAATCTAATGACAGCCTATATTCTTCTGTAGATTGATAATGGGCCCAGAACCTTATAAAACCTATTCTAGGAAGAACAGAATTGCTGCCCAGTAGGAGCTTAATGTAATTGAGTTGGATTCTCAGGGCTCTGAAAGTTAGTGGGCTGTAAGCACCATCAGCTGCAGGTTCGCACTACAATTGTGGGGGTCAACTGGGAATACACTCACCACCCCTAGGAGGCTTCCTCAGAAAAAGAAGAGAAGGATCCTTGGACTGAGTAACGTTATCTTTTTGAGGCATTTCATCCAATTCTTATTAGGCTGTTAAAATTCTGATGAGATCATTGGTCAGCTGTAACCTGTGGCTGTTAGATTTTAAACAGGCAAGACTTTCACTGTTTGGTCTTGGCTTTAGTTTTTCCCCCTCTATAAAGAGTTTACCCTGTTGTGTTCATTACAGATACGTAATGACTCAGATACATGTCCAGCATAAGACAACCAGAGAAAATGGACGAGGCTAATAACAATAAGTAAACCCAACAAAAAAATATGGTTTGGTTCCATCCCTTTTCAAATATGTGCTCAGTGCCATTGTCTTTTTTTTTTTTTAAAGAGAGTGTCTTACCCTGTTGCCCAGGCTGGAGTAAGTGGCACAATCACAGCTCATTGCAGCATTGACCCCCTGGACTCAAGTGATCCTCACAACTCAGCCTTCTGAGTAGCTGCGACTACAGGCATGTGCCACTATGTCCATCCAGCTAATTTTAAAAAAGATTTTGTAGAGATGGGGTCTTGCTGTGTTGCTCAGGCTAGTGTTGAACTCCTGGGCTCAAGCAGTTCTCCTACCTCAGCTTCCCCAAGTGCTGGGATTATAGGCACAAGCCATCACACCCAGCCAACATTCTGATTTTAAACAGGCAGCATAGCAGATAATGAAAGCAGGAAACATTTAGTTGTCAGAGCTTGTTCACCCTGTAAAACATATACCAAAGGGTATAATAAAATTCTATTCTATATTCTAGAGTAAGTAGCCATTGATGTTAGTGGAACATCTACTTTGAGCTCTGTAGATAAGTTTCCAGTGGAGTCACTGAATGGAAAACTCTGTGAGATGTATGTATCTCAGATGGGGTTAGGTGATAATATTTCGAGAAAATGACAAGTGAAAGAGATGGCATGCCTCTTTGGAAACGAATTTGCATTCACCTGGAAGGTGTGAACAGCAGGATGAACACTGAGCCAGAATCCAAGTAGTAGTCCTTACTTTTCCATAGGCAAGTCTCTGAATTCCTAGGACCTTGGTTTCCTACCAAAAAATAAGTGGTTTTGGCTAACACTGCATGGCTCTAACTCCCCATTCACCTCAGTGTACACTGTCCAATATGGTTGCCTCTAGTAAGATAAGGCTAGTCTATATTGAGATACGTGTAGGAGAATAATGAATGCTGGACTCAAAGACTTAGTATGAACAAAAAGAACATAGAAGATCAGGAGACCGACACCAGTCTGGCCAATATGGTGAAACTCCATCTCTACTAAAAATACAAAAATTAGCTGGGCGTAGTGGTGCATTCCTGTGGTCCTAGCTGCTCAGGAGGCTGAGGCAGGAAAATCACTTGAACCTGGGAGGCAGAAGTTGCAGCGAGCCAAGATTGCACCGCTGCACTCTGGCCTGGGCGACAAAGCAAGATTCTGTCTCAAAAAAAAAATCTTATTAATAATTTAATAATATTGATTACATGTCAAAATATTTTGGGTTTGGAGGGTAAATAAAATGTATTATTGTTAAAATTATTTTGCCTCTTTTTTTAATGTGGCTACTAGAAAATTTTAGTTTATAGTGTTTTCTTTTGGATAGTATTGATCTGTATGATTCCATGAAAAATCTTCCTTTAATTTCTGCCCCATTACTCAATTGGTCTAGTGAGTGAGCATATATGCATATATTGTTTATTTCCTTAATTATTTCCATTCTACTTGGTATTCCAAAATAATTTGTTTGCATGTAAAAGTACATATGCTATAGCAATATAATTTATTAAAATGTGAAGTGAACAGGGAAAAGTTAGATTAAAAAGTAAAATTATTACTTAAAATACAGTATCTTCAGTAACATCTTCATAGTTAAGTATCACAGTGACCTTCCAGTGAAAGATAAAAACACCGTGTCAAAAGGGTTAAAAGCCTGGGTTGAAATCCCAACTCTGCCACTTAATCTTCCTGGACAAGTTACCTAACCTCTCTGTACCTCAGTTTTCTCATCTATAAAATGGAGATGTAGACACACACACACACACACACACACACACACACACACACCCTCACACACCTCTTCATGTTATTGGGAGGATTAAGATGGCCCATTTACATATATTTCAAATCCTTAAATAAAAATGGTTATTTTTTTCATTGTTTAGGTTTAAAACAGGTTTGATGGGAGGGATACAAAATGATACTCTTCTTGCCTATTTTGCTGGCAGTTTTGTTCATCCAAGGATGACTTTTGTTATATCTTGCAGAATGAATGGGCTCTATGGATTATACTTCAGGCAGTCCTTCATGGGCTGTTTTTCTCAAAGAGGCTTTAGATAAATTATGGCATGACAGCAAGTTTGAAATCATATCCTATGACAAGTACCTGGAGGGCAGCTCTATCCTGTTGCTGAGTAAGAGCAAAACCCCTGCTTAACAGTCATCTGAGCTGACTGGAAACACACATTGTAGAAGAACTGATAGAGATGAGCACATGTGTGTGAATAGAAAAACACCTCATCTGTGCCTAAGGCTGGCCCAGTGAATGCAGTCATTTTCATGGAGACCTTTGAAAAATATCAGCTTAGGCTTAGTAGATTAGACTTATTCCTTATAACTGTCTGGCCCGTTTTTAGCTGCATTTCTCAATTTAGTATTCAGTTTTCTATTTAAGTACAGTATGTCAAATGCCTCAAGCCTGACAAACTTACATTCTTAACAAGCAAACAATTTTCCATACTTAAAAAAACCTCTTGAAAATCTATTAATATTTAACTGTAGTGACTCTAAACATCCCAGTACAGTTATCAATGTGCTTAGTATATCTTGTATGTTAAAAACTCAAATTTGAAATGAGTTTAGATCATTAAAATGAGTTAACATTTAAAGATAGAATCAGTGGACACATTTCTCTTTCAGATTTCTATTCATATAAATTTTCTTAAACACCTAGCAATGTATGTTATTCTTAAACTTAGCACTTATATTTTGATAGCATGGATTTTATTTCCATGATCCTCTTCTATTTCATTTTACACCTTTTCAGTATGGAGAGGACTCATTAAGGGAATAGTTTCACCATCTCAAATGATTCAAAGTTGAACACTACAATGACCATCTCAGATGGACTGTTACTTAGTGATTAGAAACTTAGATCAGAACTCAGGATCTGGGAGAAGGATATGTCTGGGTAGGGGGCAGGGGTTGGCCCTGAGCTACAGATGGACATGTTTCTCACAGCTGTTATGCATTATGGTCTCCAGGTACCCTTTAGATGAGGCTAACTTTACAACCTCAATCTCCTTAGTGGGTGTTAGAACCTCATAGAATTATTTCATTTGATTTAGGTAAATACAAGTCTGCAACTCTTCCTCTGATTGCAGCTGACTTTCTTCAATTAACTTCCGTTACTCCTGCCTTAAATTCTGTATTCCTTTTATACTTTATCTGTTCTGGCAGTTTCTGAACTCTTAATGATATTTTGAAGACATCCAATTAGATGCTGAATGCTTCACACACCTGTATTCAAAGTTAAAATAACAACAACAAAGATCACCTTGGAATGTTTAGCTGGCAATTTAATTTTGGGGTGCCAGCCCCAGCATAAACTGGATTCAAGATATATTTAAGTGAGTTCATTACTCGAAAGAGATATTACATATACCATGTAAATGCCAGGAAACAGCTACCCCCAAAATGGCATCTTTGGATTATGAAAACTGAATTTGAAGCCACTCTTTCTCCCAGTTCCTAGGAGTGACTTGTGATTCTGTTTTTTCCAAAAATGATAGCAGCCACTAAATTAGAGCTAAAAAAAAGTGAGGAAATATAGGATATATGCCTATTTTGATCCTTTGGAAAAATTATTTTCAGATTCATCAAGAGTTCATTTCTACCAATCTCGATTTTGGAGAGAAAGGAAGGTGAAAAAGAAAAGGAAGGAGGAAAAGAAGAAAGGAAGCAAATAAGAAGGGAAGGAAAGATTTTGTGTTGTTCCTAGTGGATTTCTCCACCAAGTGCAATAGACTGTAAGAGTGGTCAGCACGGAATAACTACTGCCAAATCCTTTCCGCTTCTATTGTGGGCCCAAGAGTTCAATTTATTCAGAAGGAAATTGATATTTATTTTAGAAAGCATGTCTGCTAAGCCAATAGGTCTGTAATTTTAAAGTAAAAAATTCCTTTTTCAAATGAATATTCTCTAGGTCCAAGAAATGAAAGCATAGCACTCACTGTTCAGTTCTTTAAGGATACTAGCAAGTATCCAGGGGGTTACATCCGTTCATGGAGTTTTAAAATCACAGATACACACAGAGAATTAAGAGATATAGGATATAGCTTCAGCAGGGGCACAGCCAAGCTTCGTGGGGAACTGAAAAATAATCTTCAAAATATCCCTGAATCTGGTAGGTTGCCACTGTAGAGATGTAGGTGTCTCCTTGGACGTGGACTATCATTACATTCTGCTTGACTCTTCTTCCTTCCTATTAACCTGGTGTGCAAAGCTGGGGAAAGCCTGTGTGTATCACCAGAGGCCCAGCTTCCATGATCTCCTTTGCTGCACCATGTAAGAACCACATGGTCTCAAGACCCTCCTCAGTGCTGGATACAAAGGTCCATGTGGAATTATTAGTCTTGAATATTTTTCTGACAGTGAAAATGTTGTGGATGAGTTTAATTAGATGTGACCTTCAGATTTTTGTTTTCAAATGTTACTTGGACAGGATTTGGAATACCAAAAGTTCTTTTCAAATAAAGCAATAGAATGACTACAAGTAGAAAAGATTCTTATTTTCTCCCTATTTTTTTTTTTTAAGGTACTAGTGATTGTTCTAAAAGCATTGATACAAAGGCTGTTCACTGGGAGTAGGACATGATTGTCATGCTGTCATTAATCATGGCCTATTTCTAAACTTTAAAACATGCATGTATTTAAGCACTACTATACTTTATTGCAATTGTGAATGAAACTTTTTTAAAAATTCCCTTGATTCAGTAATCTATAACCAGAAGGGATAATGATAATCAGGTCCACTTTTTCCTCAGAGATGCCCAGTTATAAGAGTGTGGGACTGCAGAGAAAATATTTTTATGTTTCTGCATAGCTGGAGCTTTCTAGGCATTTTTACTAGAATGTAGAACCTAAGCTAAAAAACAAGCCTCAGAAATTAAATTAAGAAGCTAAGAGTGGTGGTTCACACCTGTTATCCCAGCACTTTGGGAGTCCAACGCAGGAATTCAAGAGCAGCCTGGGAAACGTAGTGAAACCCCTATCTGTACAAAAAAAGTAAAATGTTAGGCATGGTGGCACATGCCTATAGTCCTAGCTACTCTGGAAGCTGAGGTGTGATGATTGCTGGAGTCTAGGAGGTCGAGGCTACAGGGAGCCATAATTGTGCCACTGCATTCCAGCCTGGGCAACAGAGCAAAACCCTGTCTCAAACAAACAAACAAACAAACAAAAAACAGAAGTTGAATTGTGAGTGCATAGTGAGAACTCCAGAGAGATTTACCTCTGCAGAGGTAATGTGGTTAGTTTTTAAGGAGGCTAACTGGAAGAGGGAGACGAAACCAGCTCCATGGAGACATTCCCAGAGTTGTAAATCAGGAGCCACTAGTCATATCTTTCCTTAGAGACAAAGGTTTACATCCCAAAAGGTCAGTGCCCAAGATCCTTCTCAAGGTGAATTCTCTCCGCCCTCCCCAGAGGCTGCAGAGGGGACAGCTGTCCCTCTCCAGATTCATATTTTTGGAGTTTCTCACCTAGAGTGTAGACCATGTATATGACAACCTCTGGTTCAGTCTTATAATCCCTTTACATTTTTATCTTGCTTTACAGTCTATAAGATGCTTTTTACATTTATTGTCCCATTTGATTCTTACAATAATATTTGGAAATGGAATTGTTAGGTATTACAGTATTTCTAAAAACTGGAAATATATTTCAAAATGTATTTGAAATGAGATGGAAGAAGACTGAAACTCAGTATTCATGTGATGGGACAGAAGTTGTCTGGCTGTGGTATTCAGGTACTTTTAATTAAAAGTGAATCTTTGTGTTGTCCCTGATATCAGCAGCTATCAAATAATAGGCATTCCATCAAATAGCAAGGCTGAACTCTTCCGAGATGCACATAAACCACTGCCCTTTCCTACTTTGGTTTCTAATAATTATTTTTTTCTCTTAACTAAAAGATAATTACAAATATGAAAGAATTTACATTAAGACAAAAAAATCTGTTTTCAGACTGTTCCTCAAATGCCTTTGAATCCTTTAAATGTTAAATAATAAACATACACTTTTGACAGTTTTTGAAGCACTTTCACACATATTATCTCATTTAAACAAACACATAATTTACAGATGGAGAACTAAAGGCCGAGAGAAGGCCTGAGGCCATGTACTCAGGGGGTGGTAAACTCTCCAAGTGGGAGATCAGGACTTCAGATCTCCTGCCACTCCTGTGAAAAGGCACTAAGATTCTGGTGAAAACCCAGTAAACTATGTGTTTTACTTAAAGTATTATGAACCCTGAAATTTCAAAATTACTTAAATATGTTATTTTCTTAAGTCTCAGACCCTTGGAAACACAAGTCCAGAGGAAGATAGGAAAGAATGCTGGTTATGAGCTAATGTCACTAGCAGTGAGGCATGTCACCCAGATAAAGGGAGTGCTGTGATGATTAACCTAATAGCAGTTCGTAAAAGACTGTGCTCCTCCCTGATTATAATTCATCCACATACACTTATTAGGCACATTTTAAAAAAATTTCCCATGGCAATAGCAATACGAAACTGTTGATCATTGTCACAGAATCCATTTAGAGACAAAAAGATAACTGTTAAAATTAGTGTTATAGTCAAAAGTGACAGTTTTTATTCTGTTGAGTAGAACAGTTCTCAAATCATTACCTCAAGACTGTATTCAGAGTCCTCTGGTTGAATAAGTCTTTTATCTGTCCTTTCTTAATCTAACACACCCATTCTTCTCACAAAACAGGGTCTTCAGAGGCAGACTGGAAAATTGGACACCCAAGCCACGTTCAGCAGCTCAGACCTCCACTCGTTCCCCTTGCATGCCTTTCTCATGGTTTAATGACAGCCGGAAAGGATCCTATTCCTTCAGGAACCTGCCTGCACCTGCAAGTTCCCTTCATCCTTCTCCTGAGACTCTAATTTCAGATAAAAAGTGTTCCAAGGTAGAAAACACATGGATTACAAAAGCAAACAAGAGAAACCCAAATCTCTCCTCCTCTTCAATCTTTGGAAGGCATTCTCAACTTATGTCTGTAGTCTGGATCCAAGAAACCAATGTAATAACACTGCAATAAACAATGCATGGTATTTCTTATGTAGGAAAAAGAAAGCCTCATTTAACCATCACCTTCTTTAATACTGTTTCATTCTAGATTGTACATTACTCTTTGATTTGCCTGTCTTTTCACATATTGCTATTTAATCTCAGTTTGACAGTTAAGCCATGCTGGGAAAGATGCATTTGAATCATAGAACAGAATAATAGACTTGTTTACCCAGTATTCTACTTTCAATTACATTACTAATCTATTTCATCATGCTTCTCAAAATTTACTGAAAAGCAAATAAATTTGGGACTATGTGTTCAGTACATCTAAGTGAAACTCTAAAACAAACCAATGCTGACATAGCACCCTTACTTATTTCTTCTTTTAATATCTAACTTCTATGTTGAATAACTGCTGTATAATTCTGTCACCAAAGTTCTTTAACCTAATTAGGAAATATATGCATGGGTGTCACTTGTTTTAAATGCATGATGGTTGTTTCCAGCATGACACTGCAAACCTTATCTAACATCTTATTGAAACACATATGGTGGCTAACTTTCACATGTTGTTTGGTCTCCTTTTATCTGTGTTCACTTTTCTTTCTCAAACGGAAATGTGTGGTTAATGTTACTTGAATTTAATTCTTTTCAGTTTCAGTTTAAATCTTTTCAACAGCCCAGAGGGTTTTGACTGGGATACCAAATGGTAATGTTCATGTTAAATGTCCTGCTGCTTAAATGTTCTGCTGGCCTACCTCTGTGTGCTCTAACTTAGACTTCTTTTCTGAAGTTTTAGCAAACTTTGGAGTTTGTTTGGTACTGAAGTCTCCAGCTTCAGGCATGGTATTTATTTTTGATAACCAACTAAACCCAGGATAAGGGAACCTAGTGGAAAACTAATAGTCCAATTCCTAAGGAAATGAAATAGAAACAAGATGGTGTTGGTCAAGTGCTTAGAGTTCCTGGGAATCCAGCCATTTTAGAATTACTAGCAAAAGAAGTTTTGACAGCAGCACATCACTTTGGTCTTGAAACATTTTCAGTATTGGATCTGAGACATCTAAATGCTATTTGAAGAATTCTGCCATTATCTTGCACTCCAGATTTGGTAAAAATGTTTTTACAAGAGCAGCTGTATAGTCATTGTTAAGTTGCTTGATTTTTATATCCACCAAATATTTTAATGAAGTTCTAGGGAAGTTTTATTTACACACTCCCACCTTCCCCTCCCCCAGGTGATTATTTAGTAACCTGTGTCTGTGCTGTGTGGCAGCCTCTTTGATACTCTGCTGGTGCTGTGAGAGAGTTGTATTTCAGCATGTAACTACTAGGGTATTGTCAGACTCTGACCTCCCCCAGAACTCATCATCTTGAAGGGTACATCCAGGAGAGGATCTGCCATTTCTCATAGTATTTATCACGGCCAACAACGAGCGATCCTTCCCAGGGGGTGCTCTAGCTACCTTTCTAATATGAATTGCCATCTGTTCCTAATAACTCAGCCTCTCCACACCATCTTGTATTTTTACTTACACTGTTACTCATCACGATGAGGGTCAAAAAAGATAGGCTTATTAATATTACTCTTCTGAGCAGTTGCAGAGGATAATGAATTCTGTACCCTTGAAGAGAGATTGAAGAATTATTTTTCTACAACACCTATCCTTTCATCACATGGGGAAAGCACCCAGAATTCCTGAATTCCCTCAAATGCACGAGGTGCAGCATTCTCAACTGCTGCCCCATTGAAGGTCATCACCAAATCAAACTTGAATTTCTGCTAAGATTGTTTAAAAGAACCTTTTTAGAGCTTGCAAACACACCTGGCTACCTCTTGCTCACTCACTGCACTCATTTAACACTGAGCTTCATTTATTTTTACAGAATTTTACCTTCAATGATGACTTCAGTCCCAGCAGTACCAGTTCAGCAGACCTCAGCGGCTTAGGAGCAGAACCTAAAACACCAGGGCTCTCTCAGTCCTTAGCACTGTCATCAGATGAGGTACTTTAATGGCACTGTGACAGAACTGCTTTGTCAAATCTGACATTTTACCCATGAACCATCACCAGGAAAATGTTTTTAGGGTAGATCTTACATAGAAATCATCAGGACTGTGGTTTATATTTAATATGAAGTCTTTATGATTTCTCTTCCTCTCTTTCTCAACACAAAAGCAAAGTCTTATTCTTAAGCTTTCCAGGGGTTAAGCTTTTATGGGTCTATGTAAACACACATGATGAGGAGGCTGGGAACTGTGGAGTAAACATGGAACTTCAGAAATCACATAGAGGTTCACAAATTATTCTTTTTTTTTCTTGCCTCCTCCCACAACCACCCTCACTCAAAGATTCTGATACTGCCTCTGATTAGACTGTTCTGATTAGGGCTAGGTCTCTGATTGAGAATCATTGCAGTAGACAGGGACAGTTTTGGTAAAGAAGGAAAATAGGTTGAGAACTATTTATTTAAAAGCACAGGTCAAAATTAGTATTGCTACAAATTATCGGGAGATAAACGTGTACAAGAGAGTCAGGAAATGAGGTTAGTGATTAACTTAGTTACTCAAAAAATGGGGGAAGGACAGAAGGCACTATGAATAAATATGTTTTTGCTCTAAGTATTTGTTCTTACTATTTCTAACATGATTTTTGATTCATAAAACTTTTTTTTTCTCATAAGCTTTTCTGCCCATATTCTTCAAGCTTGGTGCAATTTTCATTTTATTAAAATTGTGTACTATACATGTTGTGTCTCCTGTTTCTGTAACATGTTTTTTCTTGATTCTTTTATCGCTCCCTCACTCAGAGCCTGGATATGATAGATGACGAGGTGAGCTATCAGTGGGCTGTGTGTGGTGGCTTACGTGCTATTGTTTAAACATGCTTTTTCTTTCTTTGTAGATGATTGAAAAATCAGACAATACAAGAACACCTTCCTCTTTAGTGAAGGGTTACCTTGTGTTAAATAGCTTTACTCTCTGCCCTTATCATATCTTAGTTTAAAAGATGTTTTTAAGTTAAGAGGATCTCCGCATTGCACCTCCAGAGTTCCTTGATTTATCTCCCATCACCATTACATCGACATGGTTCATTCTTTTTCCTCTCCTTTGCCTTCATCTTGGCTTACCCCATCCGTTCTGTGTTCCCTGTGTGGGTCACCAAGGTGACTCCTGTCTTGCCTCCAAAACCTATCATCACGTTCATCTCTTCTCAGCTTAGTGGGTCTAGAAACTAACCTGTCTGCACTATTAAAAGGAATATTCTGCAGTGGACAGAGCCAGAAATCTGGAATAAACTCCTAACCATTGAGCTCTACCACTTACTATGTGATCTTGGACAGATCACATAGACTTCCTGAGCCCAAGTTTTGTCATTTCTTTTTTTTCATTCTTTCTTTCTTTTTTTGAGACAAGTCTTACTCTATTACCCAGGCTGGAGTGCAATGACACAGTCTTGGTTCACTGCAACCTCCACCTCCCAGATTCAAGCCTCAGCCTCCTGAATAACTGGGATTACAGGCATGTGCCACCACACCCAGCTAATTTTTGTATTTTTAGTAGAGACAGGGTTTTGACATGTTGGCCAGGCTGGTCTCAAACTCCTTGCCTCAAGTGGTCCACCCACCTCAGCCTCCCAAAGTGCTGGGATTACAGACGTGAGCCATCATGCCCAACCATTTCCTCATTTCTTAAAAGCAGTCAAGGATATTATCTGCCCTATCTTCCTCACATTTTTGCTTGCTGCTCAAATGAAATAATGGTTGTAAAACTTTCCCTAAGAAGGCTTGAGAGCTTAATGCTCTCCTCTCCCAAGTGAAAGATACTTCAGTATTTTTACAAAACTCTAATGTGTTATTAGAGGATAAGTGATGCATTACATACAGATATTTATGAAATTCTTATTTTCTACATCTTATAATCTGTCCAGACTGTTTTGATGTAAATGTTTGAAACATAGTGCATTTTCTTCAATGTTAAACTTCCTACATTAATAATGGTGTTTTTTTATTTGGGGGAATTTCTAAACTTTCAAATACATAAAAACATATAGGATAATAAGTTTATTTTTAATACCACTAGAACCATTAGCTTATCATATTTTGGTTTAAACATAAATGTGGCTCTCATAGGTTAAGAAATTCCTTTTGATAGCATAATATGAGCCATAGTATCTTGGTCCTTTAACAACACTACGTAACATTCCTATCTCAGATCCTTGATGATGGACAGTCTCCCAAACACAGTCAGTGTCAGAATCGTGCCGTTCAGGAGTGGAGTGTGCAGCAGGTTTCTCACTGGTTAATGAGCCTAAATCTGGAGCAGTATGTATCTGAATTCAGTGCCCAAAACATCACTGGAGAGCAGCTCCTGCAGTTGGATGGAAATAAACTTAAGGTAAAGAATTATACATCTGTGTTAGGTTACCAGATATAATTTGTATTACTCATAGCATCTAAAATGTTTTCATTAGATAAGAGCGTTCTGCATATCTGAGAGGTAATTCTCATCAACATTCAGCAGAAAGGATGTTGAATTCTTTCTGAGTAGTAAATGAAGTTTCAGAAAATCCATTAGGGGTTCTAAATCAAGTGGTAGGCTGCTGATTAAGAGAGCGAGGGACCCACTCCATTGCTTCCACCTGGCAATACATGGTCCATGCATTAACTCTCCTTACTTCTGATGCAGTATGAGTTTTAATAATGGCCACTGTGGACTTACTCATCACATTAGAATTAAGACCCAGATCCATGAATCTTCTTTTCCTTACTCATTTCTCCTTCACCTCCACTCTTCCTTACACACCACTCTCAAATGGGATGATGTTCTCCGCAGCAGTTTTTTCCCCAAATATGTACACACATCTTCCCTCCCCTCCATGGCACTTTCATTTCCACTTGTCTAGTCCATCTCTCTTAGAGACCAGGGTGGCATCCATCCCTTTGGGAAAGGGAAAAAGGAGCTTACAGCGTGCTCTATGCATCCCCAAGCCCTACCCCCGCTTTAGCCCCCTGCTAGGCTGACCGTCAGATGAGTATCTCTTGACAGTCTTGAAAAGGTTAGAGATCAATCAATAGCTTGTGAATATGAAGGCCCCATTGACAAGGCTGTCCCTGTTGGGGAGATAGATAGATGCATCCCGCTGTTGATTCTGAAGGTCACGAAACATTTAAAGTACATAAGTAACTCCCCTTATTCTGAATTCTAAGCTCATCGAGCAACCTCCTTATTATAATCAAGCTTCCTTTATAGGTCTGCCTACAGGGAAAGAATGGCTAGTCATGCTGACATGAGCATTCTGGCCCCAAAGACATTTTTGGTTCTCATTGTAATGAAAACATTGGCAGAAAGGAAGCCATTTCAATTCTCTTTGCCCTTCTTGGAGCCCTCTGTGACAGCAGGTGCTCACTCCTCCACTTTGAAAATATTGATGAGCTTAGCAATACCTTTACCTGTAAATGTCTACAGCCCAAAGGTTGGAGAAATAGAATTGTGCACTTTTTCCATTCATTCACTCGTGAATTACTAATTTGGATAGCATTTACTTCATGGGCTTTAGGATGTTCTTTGCAAGGGTCATCAAAGAAGAAAAGAAGAAATAAAGTGTAGCCCCCAGTGTGTAGATTTTTAGAAAATGTAACTAGCCCTTCCTCTGTTCTTACCTGTTCTATGTTTCAATTAGTTTATAAGCATGAACATATTGTATATTAACATCATCAGAGGGGTCACTGGTTTTCAAATTCAGTTTGTGTGTGCATTTTTTTCCTAGGCTCTTGGAATGACAGCATCCCAGGACCGAGCAGTGGTCAAAAAGAAACTCAAGGAAATGAAGATGTCTCTAGAGAAGGCTCGAAAGGCCCAAGAGAAAATGGAAAAACAAAGGGAAAAGCTAAGGAGAAAGGAACAGGAGCAAATGCAGAGGAAGTCCAAAAAGACAGAAAAGATAACATCAACTACAGCCGAGGGTGCTGGTGAGCAGTAACACATACTCTCTTACAGATGATGAGATGCTCCAAGAGAAGTCCCCACCTCTTTCTGCCCTGCTCTCCTCCAGAGGATGAAGAAAAAACTAAATGATAGGGGTAATGCGGCTCTAAGACCCATGTGAATAACTGCATTTTCTGCAGTAGAATGCATTCTTAATTTTAACTACTAAAATAATCCTAAGCCACCTTTGGTTTATTAACAAACCAGAGATCTCATTTAAGTAGCTGTGTTTTACTCTTCTCTAACTTACCAACATCTTCTGTTGTGTTGGGTGTGTTTTGTCACTTGGAGAACTAGTGTGACCCCACCTAACAAGAGCATGAGACACCTTGGTGTTGTTAATGGAGCGCCGTGAATTTTGAGTATGGGATCCTAAAATGGCAATTGCACATGTCTGTATGGCAGAGAGCAGCCTGCCATGAGATCTGGGACTAGTACTTATTTCTAGGGCTGCAAAACCTACTCCAATGTATGAGAAAAGTTCCTTCTCAATTCTGAGTCTGGACAGTAAGACCACTCCGCTATGGAAACATGGGTGCTCTGCTATGTAGTTACCTACTAAGGGAAAAGGCAAGCAAGCCATTCTGCTTGCTAGACATCAGAAAGAAAGAAAAGAATTATAGCTATTTATCAACCACTGAAAAAAGCAAAAGCCTTAAGAGTGTGGATTGGGTATTACCTTGAGGTTCTGAGGGTAGCATTTATCCTCCAGATATAGCTGAACAAGAAAGCAAAAATCAGACATGAATGCAGCCATGGGATATTGGGATCTGTTGACTTTGCTACTGCTCTGTGTTCAGTATTTCAGCAACACTGGCAAACACAACACAGTTCCTCTTCCCCCACCCACCCCAAGAAATTGAACAGGAAATTGATTTCTAAGGAAACCACCATATTCAGGTTTCCTCTCCTGGGGAACATTCTGGCTGGTCTTCAGCCTACCTATGACACAATCAGGAACTGGTCACATATTTTCTACTCAAGATTTCCCAGGTGGGCTCAGTTAGTGTTTTAACAAATGTACTTTTAAGAAAAATAGAAATATCAGTTAGAAGAAATTTAAATTTGAGTAACATTCAACCAGAGAACCAATTTTTTTGAGTACAAAGAATGTTCCTATAAAGAAGGAAAAATCTCTCTCAAATGCTGTCAGTTAACATTTTAGATTTTGAGTGGTTTTTCTGAGCCATTCTTTTCCATACCTCAAAGATTCCCAGTTCTACAGAAAAAGTTTGTTTAAGGCAGTGCACGAGATACACTTTAGTAGTGGAGGAACTTATACTAATTTTAAACCAGTATTAAGGATTTCAGTATTTCACCAAACTAAGTCAAGTGCAGACTGGGGCAGAAGGAGGAGAAAAACTCATTTTGAGAAATTTCATATGAGGGTTTATGGTTTTTTGTTTTTTATGCTTATGTATCTGTTTCTTTTTGCTGCATTGACTAAAAATGAGGTTATCCACTTTGTAAGGGGCAAGTTTCAGAATAAGACTTGAGGCCACATGAATCTTGGACAAGTATGTTACTTCCTTTACCTTATGAGGATCTCTGCTTTGTTCCCAGCATCGTCATATCTTCCACTAGAAGCATCCTATATGCAGAAGTTGGGTAAGACCTTTGAGCATAACAGATTAAGGAACTCCCTTCTAGCTCCATCTTGTGATTTTCTTTGTTGTTAAAAACAATTGTTTTTGGCTTATTTGAAAATCTGAATTCAGGAATTATTTAGACATTTTTAATTCTGTTCTTCCCCTAAAGATTGTTTCCTTTCCATTGCCAGAGTATTGTCTGTTATGCTTCAGCTCTTTTGTCATTAGATACAGACCATTCATCCTCAGAAACATTGACATGAAGTAACATTGTGTTTTACAGTATCATAGTCGTCATCATGTTTTTCTGTCTGTCTTCATCTGGGGTATGATAATGAAACTGCCATACTGGATACTGTTTAATATCTTGAGATGTCTGGTGCTTTGTTATTTATTAACATCATGAGAAATAAGAAGCCACTATTAATGAGTGATAAAATTTGGCAAAACTTTTCTAATACTAAAACACTAAATTAGTAAAAAATCTGGTAATACTAGTACTTTCTATTATAAATTTTTGCCATTTTTGCTTATCTTTGGGGAAAGAAGTGACCTGGATCACACTGGAAGTTTCATTGTATTCAAGAGTAGAAATAGAAGGATGATTATCTTAAGTTATGTTTACACTTTGGTGATATTTGAAAATGGATGTATATACTGGAAATGTCTGTGTCTGTCTCTGCACCTAATTTATGATCTATTCTATTGCATCTTCTTAAATGTCTTAGTAGTCTTTATAATTTTGTACATTGAATGGGTAGATAAATGTCCAACTGACAATATTATAAATCAAATTCTTATCGCTCAAATCATTTAGTATTATAACTATTTTTGTTTTTTAAGTTAAATTATAGTAATTTTAGGCCTAAATGAGTTATTTTAACATTACTACTTAGATAAAATTGTCAAAGTCACTTGGTTTGATTGTCCCACAAAGCATAAGATATAAGCTGATTGATATAAGGGTCCGAAAACGAAGTGAAAGGCCTCAGATCTTGTGCGTATTTTGTTTTCTATTATTTCTTTTATTGACTGTAGTGCATGATGCCTAATTGAGGCTCCAATGTCTTGCGCAATCCTACTTTAATGCTAGTGGTTTTCAGTGTCTTTATGATTTAACACAGAATTGTTACTTCATCAACCTTAACAACTTTGCAGTTTTTTATTATCAGAAAATGAACAGAAAGGGAATATCTGGTTGCTATGAACTATATTCCCTAAAGGAGAGCTCAGTATGACTCTAACAATAGCCAAAAGTGTTTTGGGGTCTAGGTTATACTACGTTGGGAGGGAATGTGTGGTGAGGCCAAGCTGCAGACAGAAAGCATTGTATGAGCTGTATCTGGGTCAGGGTTTTCCATCAAAAGATATTAGTTTTATAACAGATTACTTTTAAGACCATCTCCCTTCAAGTAACTCACAGTTTATATAACACTTAGCTCATTCTTTTTTTTTTTTTTTTTTTTTGCCTGAATCAGGAATTACTGCAGAGTGTTAAGTTAGGGAAGAAACCTCATTTCATTCATTCTAACACTCCTGATGAAGTCCCCCTTTAGTTTCATGACAATAAAGCTGTTCTGTGGCTATCATCTTTAGCTGGGATTGACATTGATTTCACACCCTCAGCATCACACAAGCTTTTTTAACCCACAGCAGTTCATGATTGCAGTATGATAGGTGCTAAAGCCAAACACAGCTTTCAACCGGCACAAAATGGGACTGTCTACCTTTTGCTTGTTTGTCGTTGAAAACAAAGTGGCAAAAGGGAAAATGAGGAACCAAATTTACCTTTGCCACTATCTGTGACCCTGTAGTCATCTCTGGCCTGAAATCTTAAAATATCTCAGGCCTAGGCTACAAAAATGGTCACAGGTAGTTTGATCTAGCACCTCAGCCATTTGTGCTGAGGACACAATTCTGGGTTCATTGTGCACCAGAATTAACATGTGCTTGAAAATTGCATTTTATGAAAGGGAAATGAAATTTTGCATTTATATACATACTCTGATTCATGTTTAAGTGTTAAAGGTTATGCACACTAAACTTCAAAATGAGACCCAGAGTTTAACAATAGTGTTCAAGAGGATGCTAAAGGAAGTGTCCCAGCAAACCTAAGAGAACCATCTGTGCTTGGATAGGTTGTAGTCCCGTCATCACACTGAGATATTTCCATTTGAGTAACTAAAGATAATCGTGACAGAGTTGGAGATGAGGGGAACTTTGGTGGACAGCAGTCACTAGGGTTCATGTCACCTGCTTAATGCAAAGACCTCAGTGGTCTCAGAATGAAAAGGTAAAATAGAAAAGAAAAGCACAGTCCTTTTCTATCTTTTCAAATTTGCTTTTAATCAAGGATCTGCCTGTGCACTATTCTAAAGCTAAGAATTTAAGGATAAAGTCCAGAAATAAAATGTCCATATATTTTTTTTTTCTGTCATCTGTCACCCAGACTGGACTGCAATGGTGGTGCCATCATATCTCACTGCAGTCTCAAACTCCTGGGCTCAAGTGAGCCTCCTACTTCAGCTTCCCAAGTATCTGGGACTACAGGCATGTACCACCACCCCCAGCCAAAACATCTATATTTTCTTTAATTTTCTTTTTTTTTTTTTTTGAGACGGAGTCTTGCTCTCTTGCCAGGCTAGAGTTCAGTGGTGTGATCTTGGCTTACTGCAACTTCCACCTCCCAGGTTCAGATGATTCTCTTGCCTCAGCCTCCCAAATAGCTGGGACTACAGGTACCTGCCACCACACCAGTTAATTTTTTGCATTTTTAGTAGAGATGAGTTTCACCTTATTAGCCAGGATGGTTTTGATCTCCTGACCTGTGATCCACCCTCCTCAGGCTCCCAAAGTGCTGGGATTACAGGTATGAACCACCAAATATCCATATTTGCTATTAAAATGGTTTACATTAGGATGGGGGATGGGAAGCTGGGGGAGGACTGTACATTCCCAAAAGAAAGCAGTGTTATAGGAATTCCAAATGTGCTTCAGTGTTTCACTCCTGAAAGCAGCCTGAGTATGTTGGCAGATTTTGTTTGCATTTGTCTTGCGTATTTAAAGTCTCTGGAAATCTTGTCTTGGTCCAAAACACTGGGGAAAAAATACCACCAGACAAAACACATTTGAGTAACTTGAAGTAGCAGCATAGAATAGGCCCAACTAAGAAGCTGGAGGGGCAAAGAAAAAGCCAACAGAATCAGTTTCTCTTGGAAAGTGAAAGCGTTGAGTTTTATTTATGGTAGACAGAGGGTTCTTGTTTGCTTGTGCATGGTGTCTGTTCAAGCCTATTGAGAGAATGGTAGTTACTTGAAGGTTCACATATGTAAGCATGTGTGTCCAGATCCTCAGGGTGGAGAAGGAAAGAAATATGATGATATCCAATGCTTGACCCTAACCCAACCCCAAAACTGCTAGGGATTCAACAATGAGTAAGATGTAAGGGATAAGAGAACTGACAACTTCTCAATAATGTGCATGCCGTTTGTGTAGATGTTCAGAACTACGTGTGTGTGAATATAACTCTCACCTTACACATACACAGACACTACAATCACATGGCATTAAAAAATATATTGTGTATGGAAGTTGGTAAGGTCAGTCAGGACCTGGAGTTGTAATCATAGCCTTATTGCCACTTCTTGTGTTGTGTATACATTGAATGGCTCATAGATTTTAAGAGATTTTTTTATTGTATTTCTACTAAATGCACTTATCCTTCTATATGTTTATATATTTTGCTAAAATTGATTTATCAGATACTTGGTATTTTAGTAAGAAAATTTCCTCAAATATTTGGTTAATGCTTTGATGTCAAGATTGCATATTGCTGAGTTGGAGCTCAGAAGAAATTTATGCAGCTTTGGGCATTGTCAACTGCAGACTGCAGTTTTCTTGGCTAAAAATTGCACTATATGTTCTTGTGTATTTGCTCACAATTCTAAAATGACATAATTGGTGACTGTGATGCTTAAGTCACTGACTACTGGCTCTCTGATGGTGAATGCTGCCATCACATGATCATTTATTTACTTTTTGTGCAAGTGATGGCATTTTGGTTGTTGCAAAAAAAAACGTAAGTGGTTGGGAGTGTATGTTGTTGGAAGGTGTACACTTCTGTTACTTTCAGCTATATTATTTATATACCCAGGTTTTCTGTTAAGGATATAATTATTAATTCATGAAAGAACAATTGGCCAGAAATAATTAAATTACTTTAAAAAGTGAGAATTAAGAGGCACTCCAGCCAGATGACACCTCCCAACAACATGAAATTTAGTTAGTGCACAGTGAGATTCCTTAACTATATACTTATATTTTCTTCCACATTATTTAATGTCATAACTACTGCTTTTGTATTTTTAATGGTGTTGCAACCACTCATACACCTGCTACATCTTACTGACAAAACTGGGCAGCTGAAAATAAAAGAGAATAAATTCTATTCCACTGTAAGAAGTTGATTTCTTTTCAGCTTTCTTTGTATATCAGTAAAGAACAAGAATTGTTTGAAAATAATTTTAAGTCTGATAAGTATGATTAGCATGTTACCTAAGCTTTTAAGTTGTACATTTTGATGTCTGATCATTTGCATGGAAGAGACAATAGTGCCACGTCTGAATTGTTCTCTTGTGCTTGGTTAATATGTACTTCTCTAGATTGTTCCTTTTCAAATGACATTCCTTACTCTTTGGTTTTCAGAGGCATTCAAGCAAAATATCACAGTGGTCCTTTGTTTTCTGACCAATCTAACAATACCTGTGATTAAATTTAATTTGTTAATGTAAATAAATTTCTTGCCAATGAGTATTATTGTTGTTAGACAATGAATGCAATAAAAAGAGAAATACTGAGATCTGTCAAAGTAATTTTTTTCCCCTCTTCCATTTTCACCTTCAATTAAAACAAGCCTTCACTGGGTAAACCTGTATCAACTGTCAAAGCATAGCTGTCAATCAAGAGCAAAGTGCACATTTTTCATGGAAATGAAACTAAAAATAAGTTTTAACTCTGGTAAAGTGTAAATTGGCAGCTAGAATTACATTTGAAAGCACAATTATGGAACTGGGCATAAAGTTAAAAGAGCAAAGCCTGCACTTGAAGCTTCCTCACCCATCTTTTTGTTCCCTTGTCACTGCTTCACCATCAAGTCTCTGATACCTCTCAGCCAGGAAAACCTCTGTGACAAATCCATTAAGCAGTCAGCCTCACACAGCGAGGGGCAAGCTAAGAAAGAATCAGGTCCATCATGGAGGATGGGGTTATTTTAAACGATTTTCTTTCTAAGAAACACCCTAAACGTTCAGAAGACTTGGATATAACAACAAGTGAGGAGTATTAATTTCATTCATTCTCACACATACAAACTATAATTTGTGACTAAATCTATGGCAATGCAAAAATTTAGATCTGCGAATCACAGAATACATGAATTGAGCTGTTTTCCTCTTTTTCACAATGGAAGTTACGAAATTTCGAACCAAGCATGTCCCTTTTTGAGTGATCTTAAGTATGTGCTCTGTCAAATTGGATAGGCTGTTTTTGTTTCTTTGGTGGAATTTGCTTATTCTATCCAGAACAAGAAAGAACAGAATATGGTTATTTTATTGAAGATTAGGGAGCCTAACTACTCAAGGGATTCTTTGTAAATAAGGAAATATGTGGGGTGGGTGGTGTCCCTAAGCAGCACACTCATTGATAATTTCAAGACAGTCTTTCAGAGAACCCAGCATCCTGGCCTGTGAGCAGCATCTCGGAATAACTGAGCCCTCATAGGGCACAGGATATTATGTCACTGGAATCATGACTAACTCCAATCTTGATGTGAGAAAAATGGCTTTTTGATCCAAACAAAATGTTCCTGTTTATTACTTTAAGTCAGTAATCTTAAACTGTTGGTGGTTCTCAGTTTATCAGCAACACATTTTTCCCAAAATGCCAGACTATTATTATGACAAGTGCCTTAGAAAACTTTGTTTCTGGCCAGACATGGTGGCTCATGCCTGTAATCCCAGCGCTTTGGGAAGCCTAGTCAGGTGGATCACCTGAGGTCAGGAATTTGAGACCAGCCTGGGCAACATGGTGAAATCCCATCTCTACTAAAAATCCAAAAGTTAGCTGGGCATGGTGGCATGTGCCCATAGTCCCAGCTAGTGGGGAGACTGAGGTACGAGAATCGCTTGAACCTGGGAGGCAGAGGTTGGAGTGAACCGAGATTGCACCACTGCACTCCAGCCTGGGCAACAGAGTGAGATTTGTCAAAAAAACAAAACAAAACAAAAAACTTCCTTTCTACGGTCACTTCCTTAACATCCCAATGAAGTAATTCAGCATGAAGGTTATACCTTCAAAAGAGACGAACAAATAAATGAAGATGGGTAACCTTTATATATCAGCTTCTGTAACAAGACGATAAAGTCATGTTTTCTTTCTAGTCATGTCTCTCAGAAGATAGCCAAAGGTTGATCTTTTCAATTTGTTTACCTTTCTATTTTCTTTTTCTTTTCAGCCTCCACAGCAAGTTTAAATATTAAACAAAAACCCAACAGCATGACCACCAACACCTCAACAACAATGTAGTCTTTGGGGACACTTAGCTTTACCTGAGTCAATTATGGGATTCATTCTGTATCCAGTCATCGAAGTGAACAAACTTCCTTTCACCAAGTCAAAGACACTCTAATGCACAATTTTTGCCAAGATCATAGAGATTCATAATTTTCAGGTATGACAACACTCCCAGGAATTTTAAGATTTTCCTACATGTCATTGCTACAGGAGAATTGAAAAAGCAAGGAGAGTTGGAGTTATTCGGGTTAACATTTACTGAGAAAGTCACATAGTGAAGGGAAAATGGGAACAAGTCTGACTATGGCAAAATGGCTAATGGCTTCACCAAGGAGGTGTGCATGGAGTAGAGAGGTAATTTATAGTGCACATCTAGTTTTCTGTCCTATGAACTGGAGTCCCTGAGTGAGTACTGGAGTTCTGAAGACATGTGAGCTAATTCTGCTCTTCTGTTTCTTCTGAACAAGACATGGCAAGGCAGCGATACACACGTGCTTTCAGGCAGCACGTGTTTTCGGGTAAGTACTTTTGGGGTAACACAATAAAGTTATTTAATACCTGACAGTTGACATAACTGATTTAGCCATTTTAGTGAGGAGGATTTTTATTGGTAAATGAGGTTTTCAAGTATTCCAAGACTGATTTGATAGTGTTCTCAAAAAAAAGCCCTACACACCGTACTTTCCCAGTGCTTTGATGCTTCATGATGTCTACATTTAGTCAGCATTCATTGTTCAGCTGCCATCACTAGGTCCTTGGAATATGGCAAGTGGTTGAAATAATGGCCTGAGTTTCTATGGCATGGGTGCAAATCAATCTGTTAGAGCTCACAGTAAAGAGCTTTGTGGAACACTGTGCCGATCAGCAGTTTCCCTTTGTACACAGAGGCAACTGTACTGCCTTGCAACACTGTGCCATTTTCTGCATAAACCTGTGTCACTTTAGGTTCTTCTGTTAGGATGTTCTGGATTTGAAGCACCTATACAAGAAATAAAATATTTTTGTTAAGTTACTTAACCTTATACTCTATATTCCTATAGAGTCATCCTCTGTAGGAAGCCATATAAACTCATACAATGAGATAAATCCTATTTTGTTCCAAAATTACATTTAACACACCTGTTTCTTCATTTGGAAACATGTGGGTACTGATCTCAAGTGATCTTTAGCAGAAGTGGAGAGTATCTAGATCTACAGGGACAAGGCAGGAAATGCAAATGAGTGGCACATCCTGGATGTGGGACATTAGGGAGCAGTGGGGACTTCAGTAAATGTGGAGGGAGGAAGCTGTTACTCAGTGTAATGATTAATACTGAGTGTCAACTTGATTGGATTGAAGGATGCAAAGAACTGATCCTGGGTGTGTCTATGAGGGTATTGCCAAAGAAGATTAACATTTGAGTCAGTGGGCTGCTGAAGGCAGACCCACCCTTAATTGGGTGGGCACAATTGAATCAGCTGCCAGTGAATATAAAGCAGGCAAAAAAACATGGAAAGTCCAGATTGGCCTAACCTCCCAGCCTACATCTTTCCCCCGTGCTGATGCTTCCTGCCCTCAAACATCAGACTCCAAGTTCTTCAATTCTGAGACTCCGACTGGCTCTCCTTGCTCAAGCTTGCAGATAGCCTATTGTGTGACCTTGTGATCATGTAAGTTAATACTGAATAAACTCCCTTTGACATATATATCTATCCTATTAGCTCTGTCTCTCTAGGGAACCTTAATACACTCAACAACCGCCAAATTGTTGCCATGCGGTAATTCAGGTCCATTTTCATGTATTTTAAGAGAAGCCAGAGAACTGGATGTTCGCACTTAATTCCTGGTTTTTAAAATGTAGCAATCGAAGAAAAAACAACGTGGCCCCAAAAGACCACATCTCTGTATGACACTTATGCATTCTGAACTTAACCTCCCAACTCTAAATGTATAAGATTTTGTCAGTTCAGTTTCCTTCACTTAATTGAGGAGAAATGTGATTGTATCATTAATAACAGTGTAATATTCTGTTAAGCCAACCTTAAGAAATAGCCAATATTTTATCATTCTGGCTGTCAAAAATAGCAATTGCATATGATTCAACTTAGTATGAAAAGCACTACACTGAGGCAGGAGACCTGGGTCATGTCTTGAATCTTCTACTTACCATTTGCTTCTCATCTGTAGAAGGAGAATTTAGATTATCTCTAAATTCCCCTTTCACTCTATCTTTCTATTATTAAACCTTTATAATAATATATAGTGACTTGAAGAAGGGATATCTACATCACAAAATACCAAATGTGGCAAACTGTGAAGGCCGGTGCCTGGATATAAAAGGGTCTGTGGGAGTGTTTAATATGAGCTCTTAAAAACAGCAGGCACCGAAGACAGATTTCTTAGGAAATCGCCATAGCACTAACATATAGTAGCTACTTACAGAGAAATAGTTGATGGTGTACCTTGGCTTAACTAAGCTTCTTGTTAATAAAACTAAATCACTTTTGTAGGGGCAGTGCATTAGATAATGAATTGTTATTATTTTTTGCTATTCCTTTGCAGATCAGTCATTAGAAATGAAGTACTTTTTTCCAGAACAACAAACACAAATCCATGCTATACCAAATGACCCAAGATCACCAAATGAGCGAACAAGCAAGAACAAATTAGAATCTAACATTCTGCTCAGTTCTGAACACTGAACACTCCACAGCATACATTTCTTCAATTCTATTAAACATACCATTCAGCAACCCTAATAGCTAAAAACTAGCAAAAGGCACAAAGGGTTGCTATTAAATATGATCACAATTGTCCTGTAAACCTAGAGATAAAAGGTAGGAGAGCCATAATGTAAATGGAAATATACATTTAGTTTTTAGTTGTTTTTTCTTTTAACTCAAGATACAGGCTTTAACACTTTTTTTTTTCCTGTCTGGCAGGCAAGACAGACTCTTAAAACTTAGCTTTAACAATATATAGCAGTAGACAAATATGTCAAAATGGTATACATTTAATGTATATAATAAGTATACTTAGTAGATACTGAAAACTCAGTAAATGTGTTAATACCTATATTGAAGTAGGTTGAAAATTCTTATTTGTACCCAAAATAGTCCACTGAATAAAGACCATGGGCACAAAAATGGAGTCTTTGAGTACTGTAACTAAGATGGAAGATGAGATCTTCTAAGCCAAAATAATTCCAGCAATTTATCTTGCTACTCTGCAGGAAGATCTAGAGAGGCTGGCCAGTGTGCTCCTGGACTGGTCCACTGCATGGACCTGTGCATTGCCACACAGGAA